CTTGATTGTTTTTCCTTGGTTTCCTAGGGTATCATTCACTGATTTACTCAATTCCTCGAACTTTCTATTATACTTCTCATCCATTTCCATAAGGGCGTTTTTTATATGCTGTTTAAGGGTGTCAATCACTTTCATGAAGTCAGTTTTTTCTACTTCTTCTTGATTAAGGTGTTCATGGTCTCCTGTTGTGGGGTCACTGGCTTCTGGTGGTTTCGTGTTGTTTTTCAGATTTTTGGGAGAATTCCTGCATTGGCGTCTGCCCATCTCTTCCTCCCGATACTCCCTTTTGGATCTTCTTTTACAGGATCAGGTCTTCTTGCCCACTGATGTACCTTCCCAGTGATGTCACTCCCCAGAGATGTTTCTCCACAATGATGTTTCACTCGGTGCCCAGATCGAAACTCCGCGCTGCTTGGTTAGCTCGCGAACAAAGGGCCCACCCCGCTCTCTGCGGGCAGGCTATGGGAACAAAGGAGCTACCGGCCACCCCTTTGTCCTCCTGGTTCGGTCCCAGCGTCCTAGCAGGCTGGGCAGGGAGGCGCTATGCCCCAAAGGAGGGAGAGAGGGAGGGAGACCGGGGGTGTGGGGATCTGGATGTAAGCTGAATGGGATAGAAATAGAGAGGTGGTTTGGGCAGTATAGCCCCTGTAGGATGGCCTGGAAGTGTGGGCGGGCTGAGGTATGTTCCCAGCTGCCGCAGCACTCACTCACCACAATGATGTTTCACTTGGTGCCCAGATCGAAACTCCGTGCTGCCTGGTTAGCTCGCGAACAAAGGGGACTACTTCTTCTTGATTAAGGTGTTCATGTCCTCCTGTTGTGGGGTCACTGGCTTCTGGTGGTTTCGTGTTGTTTTTCAGATTGTTGGGAGAATTCCTGCATTGGCGTCTGCCCATCTCTTCCTCCCAATACTCCCTTTTGGATCTTCTTTTACAGGATCAGGTCTTCTTGCCCACTGATGAGATGTTTCTCCACAATGATGTTTCACTCGGTGCCCAGATCGAAACTCCGCGCTGCTTTCTTACCTATTTTCAACTTATCGTGTTCTTTTATTTATTTTTAAGGCTCATTTTCTTATTCATGTGAATAGTGTGTGTGTTTATTTTGTGTATCTAAGTGCAGATGTTGTATAGACAAGCAGATTATGTCAGATCTGAAGTTATGGGTGGTTGTAAGCTTCTTGATGTGGGTACTGGGAAATGAACTCTAGTGTTCCACGAGAAAGCAAGAGTTACTTTTCTTCTTCTTTTTTCTAACTAGGAAAAATATTATTTATTTATTTATTTTTACCTTTTTTTATTAAAAATTTCCACCTCCTTCCCTCCCTCCAATTCCCTTCCCCATTTCTCTCCAGTCCAAAGAGCAGTCAGAGTTCTCTGCCCTGTGTGAAGTCCAAGGTCCTCCCCGCGTCCATCCTGGTCCAGAAATGTGAGCATCCAAACAGACTAGGCTCTCACGAAGCCAGTGCATGAAGTATAATCAAAACCCAGTGCCATTGTCCTTGGTTTCTCAGTTGGTCCCAATTGTCATCTACTCAGAGAGTCTGGTCTGATCACATGCTCCATCAGACCCAGTCCAGTTGGCCTTGGTGAGCTCCCATTAGATCAACCCCACCGTCTCAGTGGGTTGGTACACCCCTCGCGGTCCTGACTTCCTTGCTCATGTTCTCCCTTCTTCTGCTCCTCATTTGGACTTTGGGAGCTCAGTCCAGTGCTCCAATGTGGGTCTCTGTCTCTATCTCCATCCATCGCCAGATGAAGGTTCTATGGTGATATGCAAGATATTCATCAGTGTGGCTATAGGATAAGGCCTGTTCAGGCACCCTCTCCTCACCTGCCCAAGGAACAAACTGGGGACATCTCCTTGGATACCTTTAGAGCCAAGACTCTCACAACCCTAAAATGGCTCCCTTAATTAAGATATCTACTTCCCTGCTTCCATATCCACCCTTCCTCCATCCCAACCATCCCATTCCCCCAAGATCTCCCCATCCTCCCCTTCTCCCTTCTCTATCCCCATCTCCTCTTACCTCCACCCCAACCCAACCCCCAATCTCTCAATTTTTGCCTGGCAATCTTGTCTACTTCCAATATCCAGGAGGATAACTATATGTTTTTCTTTGGGTTCACCATCTTATTTAGCTTCTCTAGGATCACGAATTATAGGCCCAATGTCCTTTATTTATGACTAGAATCCACTTATGATGGAGTACATACCATATTCATCTTTTTGGGTCTGGGTTACATCACTCAGGATAGTGTTTTTTAATTCCATCCATTTGCATGCAAAACTCAAGATGTCATTGTTTTTTACTGCTGAGTAGTACTCTAATGCATATATATTCTATACTGTCTTTTTCCATTCTTCCATTGAGGGGCATCTAGGTTGTTTCCAGGTTCTGGCTATTACAAATAATGCTGCTATAAACATAGTTGAACAAATGCTTTTGTAGTATTATCTGGCATCTCTTGGGTATATTCCCAAGAGTGGTATTGCTGGATCCTGGGGTAGGTTGATTCTGAATTTCCTGAGAAACCACCACACTGATTTCCAAAGTGGTATCACAAGGTTACATTCCCACCAGCAATGGATGAGTGTTCCCCTTACTCCACATCCTCTCCAGCAAAGGCTGTCATTGGTGTTTTTGATTTTAGCCATTCTGACAGATGTAAGATGGTATCTCAAAGTTGTTTTGATTTACATTTCCCTGATTGCTAAGGAGGTTGAGCATGACTTTAAGTGTCTTTTGGTCATTTGAACTTCTTCTGTTGAGAATTCTCTGTTCAGTTCAGTGCCCCATTTTTTAATTGGGTTAATTAGCATTTTAAAGTCTAGTTTCTCGAGTTCTTTATATATTTTGGAGATCAGACCTTTGTCCAATGTGGGATTGGTAAAGATCTCCCAATCAGTAGGATGCCTTTTTGTCTTAATGACTGTGTCCTTTGCTTTACAGAAGCTTCTCAGTTTTAGGAGGTCCCATTTATTCAATGTTGCCCTTATTGTCTGTGCTGCTGGGGTTATACGTAGGAAGTGGTCTCCTGTGCCCATGTGTTGTAGACTACTTCCCAATTTCTCTTCTATCAGGTTCAGTGTGTTCAGATTATTATTGAGGTCTTTAGTCCATGTAAACTCGAGTTTTGTGCATGGTGATAGATATGGATCTATTTTCATTCTTATCCATGTTGACATCCAGTTATGCCAGCACCATTTGTTGAAGATGCTTTCTTTCTTCCATTGTATACTTTTAGCTCCTTTTTCGAAAATCAGGTGTTCATAGGTTTGTGGGTTAATATCCGGGTCTTCTATTCAATTCAATTGGTCGACTCTCTGTTTTTATGCCAATACCAAGCTGTTTTCAATACTGTGGCTCTGTAATAGAGTTTGAAGTCAGGGATGGTAATACCTCCAGAAGTTCCTTTATTGTATAAGAATGTTTTGGCTATCCCGGTTTGTTTGCTTTTCCATATAAAGTTGATTATTGTTCTCTCAAGTTCTGTGAAGAATTTTGTTGGGATTTTAATGAGGATTGTGTTGAATTTATAGATTGCCTTTGGTAGAATTGCCATTTTTACTGTGTTGATCCTACCCATCCAAGAGCATGGGAAATCCTTCCATTTTCTGGTATCCTTTTCAATTTCTTTCTTCAAAGACTTAAAGTTCTTGTCAAACAGATCTTTCACTTCCTTAGTTAGAGTTACCCCAAGATACTTTATGCTATTTGTGGCTATCGTAAAAGATGAAGTTTCCCTGATTTCCCTCTCTGCTTCTCTATCCTTTGTGTATAGGAGGGATACTGATTTTTTTTTGAGTTGATCTTGTATCCTGCCATATCACTGAAGGTATTTTTCAGCTGTAGGAATTCTTTGGTAGAGTTTTTGGGGTCACTAATGTACACTGTCATATCATCTGCAAATAACAAAAGCTTGACTTCTTTCTCTCCGATTTGAATCCCCTTGATCTCCTTATGTTGTCTTATTGCTATTGCTCTAACTTCAAGAACTATGTTGAAGATATGGTGATAGTGGACAGCCTTGTCTTGTTCCTGATTTTAATGGAATGGTTCTGAGTTTCTCTCCATTAAATTTGATATTAGCTGTTGGCATGCTATATATTGCTTTTATTATATTTAGTTATGATCCTTGTATCCCTAACCTCTCCAAAACCTTTATCATAAAGGGGTGTTGAATTTTGTCAAATGCTTTTTCCACATCTATTGAAATGATCATATGGGTTTTTCTTTCAGTTTATTTATATGATAGATTACATTGATACAGTTTCGTATGTTGAACCAACTCTGCATCTCTAAGATGAAGCCTACTTGATCTTAATGGATAATTTTTACTGTGTTTTTGGATTCTGTTTGCATAATTTTATTGAAAATTGTTGCATCGATGTTCATGAACAAGATTGGTCTGTAATTCTCTTTCTTGCCTGGGTCTTTGTGTGGTTTTGGAATCAGGGTGACTGTAGCTTCATAAAAAGAATTTGGCAATGACTCTTCTGATTATATAATGTGAAACACATTAAGGAGTATAGGTATCAGCTCTTCTTGCAAGTTCTGATAAAATTCTGCATTAAAACCATCTTGTCCCGGTCTTTTTTTTTTTTTTCTGGTTGGGAGGTTTTTTATTACAGCTTCTATTTCCTCACAATTTATAGGGCTATTTAAATTGTTCACCTGGTCTTGATTTAATTTTGGTAAATGGTAATTATCTAAAAACAAGTCCATTTCTTTTACATTTTCTGACTTTGTGGCATATAAGCTTTTGTAGGAAGACCTAATTATTCTCTGAATTTCCTCAATGTCTGTTGTTATATCCCCCTCTTCATTTCTGATCTTGTTAATTTGCATGTTCTCTCTCTGCCTTTTGATTAGTTTGGATAGGGTTTTGTCAATCTTGTTGACTTTCACAAAGAACCAGCTCTTTGTTTCATTGATTCTTTGGATTGTTTTCTGTGTTTCTATTTTGTTGATTTCAGCCCTCAGTTTGATTATTTCCAGTCTTCTACTCCTTCTGGGTGAATCTGCTTTGTTTTTTTTCTAGAGCTTTCAGGAGTGCTGTTAAGTCTCTAATGTGCGCTTTCTCCGTTTTCTTTATGTGGGCACTTATTGCTACGAACTTTCCTCTAGCACTGCTTTCATAGTGTCCCATAGGTTTGGGTATGTTGTGTCTTTATTTTTGTTGAATTCAAGGAAGACTTTTATTTCTTTTCTGACCCAGGGGTGGTTCAGTAGGTGACTTTTCAGTTTCCATGAGTTTGTAGGCTTTCTGGGTGTTGAATTGTTGTTGAATTCTAACTTTATTCCATGGTGATCCAATAGTACACAGGTGGTTACTACAATTTTTCTGTATCTGTGGATGTTTGCTTTGTTACCAATTATGTGATCAATTTTTGAGAAGGTTCCATGAGATGCTGAGAAGAAGGTATATTCTTTTCTGTTTGGGTTGAATGTTCTATAGATGTCTGTTAAGTCCATTTGATTCATTACATCTGTTAATTCTCTTATTTCTCTGTTAAGTTTCTGTCTGGTTGAAATGTCCATTGGTGTGAGGAGTGTTGAAATCTCCTACTATTAGAGTGTGGGGTTTGATGTATGCTTTGAGTTCTAGTAATGTTTCTTTTATATATGTGGATCCTTTTATATTTGGGGCATAGATATTCAGGATTGAGACTTCCTCCTGATGAATTGTTCCTGTTATGAATATATAGTGTCCTTCTACATCTCTTCTGATTGATCTTAGTTTGAAATCAATTTTGTTGGATATTAGTATAGCCACACCTGATTGTTTCTTAGGTTCATTTGATTGGAAAATCTTTTCCCAACCCTTTACTCTGAGGTAGTGTTGTCTTTGAGGTTGAGGTGTGTTTCTCGTGAACAGCAGAATGTTGGATCCTGTTTTCGTATCAATTCTCTTAACGTGTGCCTTTTTATAGGTGAATTGAGTCCATTGATATTAAGTGATATTAATGACCTGTGGTTGTTAACTCTATTTTTTTTTTTGTGGTAGCGTTTGTGTGGTTCCCTTCTTGAGTTGTGCTGCTGAAGGGTTGTCAGATCTCTGTGCTATTGTGGGTGTTGTTGGCTTCCTTGGGGCTGGAGAGATGCCTCAGCAATTCAGAGCATTGCCTGCTCTTCCAAAGGTCCTGAGTTCAATTCCCAACAAACACATGGTAGCTCACAGCCATCTATAATGAGGTCTGGTGCCCTCTTCTGGCCTGTAGGCATACATGTACACAGTCTCACTGTGTTTCTTTTTCTTTTGTTTATTTTTTTTTATCATAAAATCATTTTTACATTTATTATGTATTGAAAGGATGCAGAAGATGAAAATATATTATAAAATTAATATTACCTATTTAATGAGATGGTAAAGAAATTTGACAAGTACATATGTATTTTACATCGTAGTCTAGAGCTACAATGATTCAGGAACATGTGAACGTTAATGGAGAAAACAACATTTTGTAATTGCCTTGGCCTACAAATGATACTGTATTTCAATTTTTTTTAATTTATTTATTTATTAAGGATTTCTGCCTCGTCCCCACAACCGCTTCCCATTTCCCTCCCCCTCCCCCGATCAAGTCCCCCCCCTCATCTGCTCGAAGAGCAATCAGGGTTCCCTGACCTGTGGGAAGCCCAAGGACTGCCCACCTCTATCCAGGTCTCGTAAGGTGAGCATTCAAACTGCCTAGGCTCCCACAAAGCCAGTACGTGCAGTAGGATCAAAAACCCACTGCAATTGTTCTTGAATTCTCAGTATTCCTCATTGTCTGCTATGTTCAGCTAGTCCGGATTTATCCCATGTTTTTTCAGACCTAGGCCAGCTGGCCTTGGTGAGATCCCAATAGAACATCCCCATTGTCTTAGTGTGTGGGTGCACCCCTCATGGTCCTGAGTTCCTTGCTCGTGCTCCGTCTCCTTCTGCTCCTGATTTGGACCTTGAGATTTCTGTCCGGTGCTCCCGTGTGGGTCTCTGTCTCTGTCTCCTTTCATCGCCTGATGAAGGTTAATATTCCTGAGGATGCCTATGTGTTTGTCTTTGGATTCACCTTATTTAGCTTCTCTAGGAACATGAATTATAGGCTCAATGTCCTTTATTTATGGCTAGAAACCAAATATGAGTACATCCCATGTTCCTCTTTTTGGGTCTGGCTTACCTCACTCAGGATAGTGTTTTCTATTTCCATCCATTTGTATGCAAAATTCAAGAAGTCCTTTGTTGCAAAAAAAAAATATTCCCATTTCCCTTCCCCTCCTCGCACACATCGCCCCCTTCCCCCCACTCCCCTCCCCCTCTCTCCCTCCCCCCCGACTCCATTCCCCCCTCCCTCTTGAGAATGAAGAGCAGTCCAGATTCCCTGCCCTGCGGGAAGTCCAAGGTCCTCCCACTTCCATCCAGGACCAGGAAGGTGAGCATCCAAACAGGCTAGGCTCCCACAAAGCCAGTTCATGTATTAGGATCTAAACTTAGTGCCATTGTCCTTGGCTTCTCATCAGCCTTCATTGTCCGCCATGTTCAGAAAATCCGGTTTGATCCCATGCTTATTCAGTCCCAATCCTGCTGGCCTGGGTAAGCTCCCAATAGATCAATTCCACTGTCACAGTGGGTGGGTGCACCCCTCATGCTCCTGACTTTCTTGCTCATGTTTTCCCTCCTTCTGCTCCTCATTTGGATCTTAAGAGCTCAGTCCTGTGCTTTAATTTGGGTCTCTGTCTCTATCTCGATCCATCTCCAGATGAAGGTTCTATGGTGATATGCAAGATATTCATCAGTATGGCTATAGGATAGGGTCATTTTCAGATTCCCTCTCCTCAGTTGCTCAAGGTACTAGCTGGGGACATCTCCCTGGACACCTGCGAGCTCCTCTAGAGTTCAGTCTCTTGCCAACCCTAAGATGGCTCCCTTAATTAGGCTATGTATTTCTCTGCTCCCATGTCCACCCTTCCTTTATCCCAACCATCCCATTCTCCCAAGTGTGGTTTCTAAGGAAATTCGGGATCAACTTACCCCAAGATCCAGTAATACCACTCTTGGGAATATACCCAAGAGATGCCCCATCATATGACAAAAGCATTTGTTCAACTATGTTCATAGCAGCATTATTTGTAATAGCCAGAACCTGGAAACAACCTAGATGCCCTTCAATGGAAGAATGGATGAAGAAAGTGTGGAATATATACATATTAGAGTACTACTCAGCGGTAAAAAACAATGACTTCTCGAATTTTGCATGCAAATGGATGGAAATAGAAAACACTATCCTGAGTGAGGTGTCCCAGTCCCAAAAAGATGAACATGGGATGTACTCACTCATAAATTCATTTCTAGCCATAAATAAAGGACATTGAGCATATAATTTGTGATCCTAGAGAAGCTAAATAAGGTGAACCCAAAGAAAAACATATAGTCATCCGCCTGGATATGGAAGTAGACAAGATTACAGGGCAAAACCTGGGAACTTGGGGATGAGGTGGCATGGGGCTAAGGGGAAATGGGGTCTCACTCTGTTTCAATACTTGTCTTTGTCTCTTCTGTCCCATCTAGTCATTCTTCTGCAGTTATCTTCCGGCACCACCTGCCTTAAAATGTTATTATGTTTATTTAGTTCTTTGTGTCCTGGGACTAACTCCTTTGGCGGTAAAAACAAAAGAAATCCACACAGACACAGAGCCATGCGAGTTGTCTTTGCTCTGTATTCTGCCTGATTATTTTTTTTCTATCCTTTATAGTTCTGGTTAGGTGATGATGACATATGTGTCCCTCTGAGACATTCAATCCAAGTGGTGGATTAAGTAGTTGTTTAGGCTCAGTTCATATCTACAGCTTGCTTTCTGCTTTAAATTTGTGCTTTAGAAACTTTATTTTTCTTCAAAGTCTTTTTATAGGAATACTGAAGCCTAACACATAAAAGAAGCAGCGGCCTACTTCTCTTGACAGTGTTCAAGCTTGTGGTTCCAGTACTCAGGTGACACAGGCAGGAGGTTCTCCATGTCAAGGCCAGATTGGGCTGTAGAGTGAGATGATGCCTAAAAGAAAGTGCTCTATTGAAGCCAAGGAGCAGCTTCTGGAGGCTTGCATCATACATTCTCTAGGAAAACTTCTCTGAAGATGCTGCTAATATATTCCTGCTGCTTGAGTCACTGCTTTGGAGGATGTCTTATCTCTTGAAGTCCTGAGCTCATGTTAGCTCTGGAAATGAGACACATCTGATTCAGGGTCACTGAGTGCAGTGAATTTGGAGCAATTTCAGTCAGCCCTGCTTTGTAGATAGTAGATTTCATACTTACAAAAGTTATGACCCAGAATGGAGAAAAAGGTACAGGGTATTTTTGATCAACTGGTAAAGTGTAGATCAAAGAATGTTTACTGAAAAGATCACCTTTTTACACAAGTCACAACACATGGCAAGCGGGATGAACCATAAGGCTCTAGAGTTATGTATGAGAGGATTCAGGCAGCTGGTTCAGAATACATATGTATTTTTCTCTCACTAGGTCTGGCCCTTCTGCTGAATGCTCATCTGGGTAAGTCACTAATTCCATGTGTTATTGTTGACAAAATGACTAGCTACTGAAAAACTCAACTGCCTGAATTTACATAAAGCAATTGTCTTATTAATATAATTAAAAATATACCCTGGTGAAGTCAGACTTTCTTATTATTACTTATGAAAGCCTGGCCTTTAGCTTAGGCTTGTTACCAAATAACTGTATAACTTAAATGAACCTGTTTATATTAATCTACATTCTATATGTGGCTTTTACCTGTCTCCCCTTCTGTATGCCTGACCCATTCCTCAACTCACTGGCGTCATTCTTGCACATAGATTCTAATGACCTGAGTTTCTCTCTTTGCCCAGAATTCCTGCCTTTCCTTTGCTGTCTAGTTTTAGGCCATTCAGAATTTTTATTAAAACTACCACAGTGAGACATCTTCAGACAGTGTACAAATATCCAGCAACAAACAAATATTACTCTATTTGGGAAATGAAAGGAGAGATAAAACATAAATGAGAGAGATGGGTTTGTTTGTGTAAGAGTAGACTTTTCTCTCAGTCGTTATCCTCTATAGCTTGACCACCTAAGGGTTCTTTTTAAAAAATATTTATTTATTTATTATGTATACAATATTCTGTCTGTGTGTATGCCTGCAGGCCAGAAGAGGGCACCAGACCTCATTACAGATGGCTGTGAGCCACCATGTGGTTGCTGGGAATTGAACTCAGGACCTTTGGAAGAGCAGGCCATGCTCTTAACCACTGAGCCCCCTCTCCAGCCCCCATCTAAGGGTTCTTAAATTCTCATTCTCTGAGCTTTATGGGACCACTGGACTCAAAGAACTATGAGCATGCCATCGTAAAAGAAGTCTAAGATTTTCCAAACTCTCAAAGAGAATATATACAATATCTTAGCTCATCTGCAGGAGTGCTCAACTAGTCACCTCCAGCTGGAGATCAGGCTTATGAGGTAGGTAGGTGGGGACATAAGCAAAACCCAAACTTTCATTGTAGTTAAATGATATCTATAATGGATCATCATCCTTATTTTTGACCACCACAGGGTCTGTCTACAATCTGGTATTCTACTTCTCCAACTGGGCTCAGTATCGGCCAGGTCTGGGTCGTTTCACCCCTGATAACATTGACCCTTGCCTGTGTACTCACCTGATCTATGCTTTTGCTGGGATGCAGAACAATGAGATCACCACCATAGAATGGAATGATGTAGAGTTCTACAAAGCTTTCAATGGCCTCAAAAACAGGTAAAAGAAAGGGGTAAATATCTTAATTAGAATCATTTGGTCCAGTGGTTGCCAAGTCCCAGTTTCTTTGAAGATATTCCTCAAAACTGACTGTAACAAGTCAATGTTTATCATCTATGTATCTATCTATGTATCTATGTATCTATTTATCTACCACATTTTACTTATTTCAAAATAAATTTTGAGAATTCGTATAATGTATTCCAATCACATCACTCCCTTCTCAATCCTGCTCAGATGCTCTCTCTTTCTCTACCTATACAACTTTAGTGTCCTCATCTTTGTTTTAAACTTAGTCTAAGTTCATATATTTTTGAGTGTGTGGGAATCCATTGGAAATTTGTTTGCCCATAAGGAGTCCCACAACTCTCCCAGAACCTATCATTTGGCACCAGTGCTTCAGCTAGAGATGCGACCTTATGCCCACCTTCCCTTTCCGTGATGGTGTTTAGTCTGGCTTGAGATCTTGGATGTCTTGTGCAGGCTGTTCCACTTGCAGTGAAGTGTATTCATATGTGCAACTTGTCTGTTGTTTCTGGAAAACACCTTTAGCGTAGTCCACCGTCTGCTTCTTTCTACCCCCTCTTCTGTGATATTTCCCTGTTTGATTTATGGCCTGGTCCACATGATCAAAGTCATAAAGGCATTATTGTCAGGACCAAGACCCTTGGGCACACAGGTTTTTTTGATTTCGTGTTGATACAAATGGTTTTCAAAATAAGATACAATGCTATGAATTGTAGGTCCTTTGTTGTAGAGATAAGCTCTGAACTCATTCTATCTCACTCAAAGTTTGTATTGCTGACCAACATTTCTTTAATCCTTTCTTCCCCTGCTTAAACATCAGAATCAGTTGTTTCTTCATTTTTTTTATATTTTATTTTGTCATGTCTAGCTAAGCTATCTTTTAGAAGCCTATTCTTTTCTAATAATAGTCAGAAAGGAAGTGAATACAGACAGAGTGGAGAATAAAGGTGGAGGAGTGGGAGTTGTTGAGGGCGGATAAGCAATAATCAGGGTATATTGTATGAGAATGAAATCTATTTTCAATAAAAGCAAGAAGATAAAATTCTGCCATCTACTTCTATGAGTTCAAATATTTTAGATTCTGCTCATAAGTGAGATCTTGTATTATTTGTTAATCTATGCCTTGTTAATTTCAGTTAACATATCTTCAAATTAGAAATTTTGTTACTAATGGCAGATTTTATTCTTTTAAAGACTGAATAACATAATTAATTACATAATTTTTAAGGTTTAATTATTGTCTAGACATTTGCAGTGATTATGTTTCTTAAATAATTAAGAATAATGTTACAATTAATATTGAAGTGCTATTATTGACAAAATGGTTTATCTACTCTGTTTTTGATAAAATCTACTCTCAATACTGTTTTAGTTTTTTATATTATATATCTATTTTTATATATCTTTAGGACATTTATATTATTTTTGAAAACATCTACTCAGGGTCTTCTCCCTTTTACAATTAGGTTGTTTTCTTGCTATTGAGATGAGTTCTTGATATATTTGGGATAGCATCCTTTGCAAGATATATGTTTTGCAGATATTTTCTCCAATTTTAAGCTGAAAATCAGTTTATTTCAAGATCCAGTCCATCACTCATGGGTATATACTCAATGAACTCTGCATCTTACTTTGAGATATTTGCTTATCCATGATCACTGCTGTTCTATTCATAATAGCCAGAAATGGGAAACAGCCTAGATATCCATCAACTGATGAGCATATAATAAAAACATGACACATATATATTTTATAGTATTATTCAACTGTCAAGGAAAATAAAATTTTCAGTAAATGGATGGAGTTAGAAACTATTATCCTGAGCAAGGTAACCCAAACCCAAAGGATAATCATCACATATTGTCTCTTATATGTGGATCTTTGACTTTAAGCTTTGTATATGTGTGTTTTCTCTGAATAGCCACAGAGGTTGCATAATTAAAAAGGGATCAGGCAGGAGGATACACTCTTCCAAAGAGAGGAAATAGAATATAGTTTTATAAAGAGATAAAACGACAATAGAATAGGAAGATTAAGTCAGGGAGGAGATGGTGGGCCCAATAAAGGAGAGAATAAGGGGAGTGACAACCTACACGAAAGGCTTTTTGACAAACCATATGGAAACCTACTACTATAGAAATTATATATATGAATATATATATATATAAAGATATTTTTCTTTTATTGAAAATATATTGTTTATTTTACAATATATCAAGATTATAGTGTCCTCTTTCCCGGCTCCTCCCATTTTCCCTACTTCCCTTCCCTGGAATACCTATGCCCTTTTTGTCCTTATCAGAAAAAGAAAGGCTTGTAAAAGATTATAACTAAACATGACAAGAATAAGATATAATAATGTAAGGGAAAGGCTACCGAATTGAAGTTGGACATGGAAAACCAACAGTAGGTAAAGAGTATAAAGCACAGTTTCAAGAACCACAGCTCACTTGCTTTCACAGTGAGGAGTACCACAATATACTAAACTAATAGTTATCTATGAAGAGGATGTGTTTTAGGCCATTGTGGGCATGTGATTGTTGTTTCAGTCTCTATGGGCTTATATGTACTTGTTTAGTTGATTCAGAAGTCCTTGGTCTCCTGGTGTCCTCTATCTCCTCTTGATCTTAGAACTTTTCTGCCAGACTTGAAGGTTGTGGCACATGCCATTAATCCCAGACATCAGGAGGCAGATTCAGGCAGATTTCCATGAATTTAAGACCAGCTTGGTCTACAGAATGAGTTACAGGATAGCCAAAGCTACACAGAAAAATTCCGTTTTAAAAAACAAAACAAAACACAAAAGAATCTGCCTCTTATTTGGCAGGATTCCCTGAGCTCAGAGAGGAAGGACTTGATGGAGCCCTCTCAGTTACACTCTTTCAATGTATAATGTCTGACTGTGGATCTCTGACTCTGTTCCCATCTGCTGCCAGAAGAAGTCTTTTTGATGATGATTAGATAAGGCCATGGTCTATGACTATAGCAGAATACCATTGGGAGTCATTTTATTTGTATTTTTTTCTTTATTTATGGATCATTAGTGTTTTGTTTTACCCTAGTTCTTCGGGCTATCTATTCTCTGGTTCTTTTCCACCCTAGAAGTGTCAGGTATGAGTTGCCTTTTGGGAAGTGGGCCTTAGGTCAAATCAGACCATGGTTGACTTCTCACAGAAGTCTGTGCCATAATTGTCCTAGTGTATTTTTTTCCCATTAAACTTGTTTTAATGGGTCTCAAAATTCTGTGACAGATTTTTGGCCAAGTTGTTTCCATTAAAATTTACTGATTTTGAAAACTAATAACTTAAAACTGCCACACACACACACACACACACAAAATGGTCCACAAAACATTCTCCTTTCCTTCTTAAGGTTTTACAATGCATTGCTATCATTAACCGGTCTTTTACTATTAAACTTAAATGGCCAATTGAGACAAACAATTCTGAGGCAGTTCTTCCACCACTGATTAAGACTGGGATGGCAGGTGTTAGGGGTAATATTCATTTAGCCTTCTGAGCTTTCTGGGCAGACTTGGTGACCTCGCCAGCTCCAGTAGCCTTCTTATCCACAGCTTTGATGACACCCACAGCAACTGCCTGCCTCATGTCATGAACAGCAAAACGACCCAGTGGAGGATAGTCAGAGAAGCTCTCGACACACATGGGCTTGCCAGGAACCATATCAAAACTGGCTGCATCACCAGATTCTAAGAATTTTGGGCCATCTTCCAGCTTCTTGCTAGAACGATGATCAATCTTTTCTTTAAGCTCAGCAAACTTGCATGCTATGTTAGCTGTGTGACAGTCTAGTACAGGAGCATAGCCAGCACTAATGGGGCCTGGGTGGTTCAGGATAATCACCTGAGCAGTGAAGCCAGCAGCTTCCATTGGTGGGTCATTTTTTAAAAAAAATATTTATTTATTTATTATGTATACAATATTCTGTCTGCATGAATGCCTGAAGAGGGCACCAGACCTCATTACAGATGGTTGTGAGCCACCATGTGGTTGCTGGGAATTGAACTCAGGACCTTCAGAAGAGCAGGCAATGCTCTTAACCGCTGAGCCATCTCTCCAGCCCCCATTGGTGGGTCATTTTTGCTGTCACCAGCAATGTTGCCACGTCTAACATCTTTGACAGACATGTTATTCACATTGAAGCCCATGTTGTCCTCAGGAAGAGCTTCACTCAAAGCTTTATGGTGCATTTCAACAGACTTTACTTCTGTTGTCACATTGACTGGAGCAAAGGTCACCACCATGCCAGCTTTTAAAACATTGGTGTCCACTTGGCCCACAGGGACGGTCCCAATACCACCAATTTTATAGACATCCCTGAGGGGCAGTTGCAGAGGCTTGTCAGTTGGACGAGTTGGTGGCAGGATACAATCCAAAGCTTCCAACAGGGTGGTCCCACTGGAACTACCATCTTTGCGAGTGACTTTCCATCCCTTGAACCAAGGCATATTAGCACTTGGCTCCAGCGTGTTGTCACCATTCCAACCAGAAATCGGCACAAATGCTACTGTGTCAGGGTTGTAGCCAATTTTCTTAATGTAGACGCTGACTTCCTTAACATTTTCCTCGTATCTCTTCTGGCTGTAGGGTGGCTCGGTGGAATCCATTTTGTTGACACCAACAATTAGCTGTTTCACACCCAGGGTGGAAGCCAGAAGTGCATGCTCACGGGTCTGCCCATTCTTGGAAGTACCAGCTTTGAATTCACCAACACCAGCAGCAACAATCAGGACAGCACAGTCAGCCTGTGATGTGCCTGCAATCATGTTTTTGATGAAGTCTCTGTGTCCTGGGACATCAATGATAGTAATATAGTACTTGCTGGTCTAAAACTTCCACAGGGAGATGTCAATAGTGATACCACGCTCACGCTCAGCTTTCAGTTTGTCCAAGACACAGGCATACTTGAAGGAGCCTTTTCCCATCTCGGCAGCCTCCTTCTCAAACTTCTCGATGGTTCATTTGTAGATTCCACCACTCAGGTAGATCAGGTGGCCGGTTGTAGTGGACTTGCTGGAATCAACCTGTCCACTGACGATGATACTGACGTGAGTCTTTTCCTTTCCCATTTTGGCTTTGAATTAGCAGTGGTTTTCACAACACCTGCATTCTGACGGCAAACCTGTTGTGAAAAAGTGTCCTAGCATATTTTATAGCAGGACAGAATGTAGTTCGAAGATTTTGTGCCTGGGTTGGTGTCCGTGTTTCTGTTTCAGTAGCCTGCAAAGTACTTTCCCACAATCTCATGCATATTGCATAGCTGTAACTTTTAAAATTAATATCATCTGTACTATTGACATTATTAAGATATTGATAGAGTAATGTCAGATAAAATAGTTGAAGTACTTTAGAGAAGAAAGACACTGTGAAAATATGTATTTATTATATATACATCTCTGAAACTAACTTCAAATATGCTTGCCTTGTTCTACAGGAGATTCGTGAAGCTTTTGAGAAGGAGGCTAATGAGAACAACAAGCCCAGGTTGTTGATAACTGCGGCTGTAGCTGCTGGCGTTTCCACCATTGAAGCTGGCTATGAGATCTGTGAACTTTCCCAGTGAGTGATGTACTTATTCTAAACATCTGTGGGAACTGTTAAAGCACTGCAGTGGTCAGTCTAGAGATGTCTTGCCCTCAAAAGACATTGCTTGTGTACTTGCTTTGGAAAAGGTGTTATTGTAGGCAAAGATGTGAGAAACAGTTATCAGAAATGATTTTAAATCTTATTACCTGTCAGGAAATTTGAAATTTTTTGTTTTTGTGAGGTGGCAACACGTTACCCAATCACAGGAAGTTCTCAAGCCTGTGAGGCTCAGTTGTATGTCATGTAGCGGGAAGTGGCGCTGAACTTGGCGTAAGACTTGATGACCTTATTTACAGCTTCCAAGAAGTCCTTCTCTGTAGCAATTTTTCGCCGGGCTTGGATTGCAAACATACCAGCTTCTGTACACACGCTCCTAATCTCTGCTCCAGTGCTGTTCGGGCACAGTCGGGCTAGCAGCTCAAACCTAATGTCTGTTGAACACTCATTGAGCGAGCATGAATCTTAAAGATGTGAGTTGGACCCTCTAAGTCAGGTAAGCTAAACTCAATTTTTCTGTCCAATCTCCCAGGCCTCATCAGCGCTGGATCCAAAGTATCAGGTCGGTTGGTAGCCATTAGGACTCTGATGTTGCCTCGAGGATCAAAACCATCCAGCTGGTTGATCAGCTCCAACATTGTTCTCTGCACTTCATTGTCTCCCCCAGCGCCATCATCAAACTGAGCTCCTCCAATGGCGTCAATTTCATCAAAGAAAATAAGGCAGGCTTTTTTTGTTCTGGCCATTTCAAAAAGCTCACGAACCATCCGGGCCCCCTTCCCGACGTATTTCTGCACGAGCTCAGACCCGATAACTCGAATGTAGCAGGAGTCAGTCCTGTTGGCGACGGCCCTAGCACAGAGCGTCTTGCCCGTGCCCGGGGGACCAAACAGCAGCACACCTTTTGGAGGCTCAATCCCAAGGTTAACAAATCTCTCTGGGTGGAGCAGAGGGGTTTCAACCACTTCTCGCAGCTTCTCAATCTGCTCCGTACAGCCACCAACATCACTGTATGTGACGTCAGGCTTCTCCTCCACCTGCATCATGGTAACTGTTGGGTCAATCTTAGGAGGTAGTGGAATGTGAATTTGGTATTTATTTCTGTCCACACCAACTCTCATCCCTTCCTCAATGTCAGTAGGTGCCACCTGATCACTGAGATCCACCACAAACTTGGCAAACTGCTTCACATTGATAATGTATTTGGGGTCCTCTGAATCAGCATTGATTATCTTCGTACATCTGGCTACCTGCAGCGGCTGCTCGCTCTGAAGTGTCTGTTTATCTGCGGCCAGAAACTAGAGGGCTGGTGGAGCCAGGCCAGTGTCGGACTCTTTTTTTTTTTTTTTTTTTTTTTTTTGGTTTTTCGAGACAGGGTTTCTCTGTGGTTTTGGAGCCTGTCCTGGAACTAGCTCTGTAGACCAGGCTGGTCTCGAACTCACAGAGATCCGCCTGCCTCTGCCTCCCGAGTGCTGGGATTAAAGGCGTGCGCCACCACCGCCCGGCTTGTCGGACTCTTTAATATCAGTGAGCTCATTGATTTTTTTGAGAAGCTGTTGAATGTCATCTTCAACCTGCTTGATCTGCCTGGAGTATGTGCTCTGGCCGTAAGTTTTCAGTAACGCAATATCTCCCTCGTCCAGAGCTCGGATGGGCTTGTCGTTCTTCTCATCTTCCTTGGTTTTCCGCTGGTCCGCACCTAGGTAGTCAGGCATCTTGGGGGCCGCCAGAGCCTCAGCAGTACCTTATTACCTGCCAGGTACCTAGATCAAATCCATGTCATGACATATGACCTCCATGGCTCCTGGGATGACTACACAGGAGAGAACAGTTCCCTCTACAAATATCCTACTGACACTGGCAGCAATGCTTACCTCAATGTGGTAAGACCCTACAGGAATACAGACTGGGGATAAAGTAATATGGAAAGTAGACCCCCCCAATTCACGCAAGTTCAGCAACTGTCCAAATTAAATAAAGATATTCTTAAGTTATAGGCCATATCTCATGAAGTATAATTTCATCAAAAGTTTTTGAAAAGAAAATATCAAGGAAAAAATCCATTGGTTATGAACATCATATAATTTGCCTGCTAAAACAGGGAGCTAATATAATTAAATACTGACCACTGACTGTTTGGGTCCTTTACCTAACCTACATTACAGGAGTATGCCATGAATTCCTGGAAGAACAATGGAGTCCCAGCTGAGAAGCTCATTGTTGGATTCCCAGAATATGGACACAATTTCCTCCTGAGCAACCCCTCCAATGATAGAATTGGTGCCCCTACCTCTGGTGCTGGCCCTGCTGGACCCTATACCAGGGAGGCTAGGTTCTGGGCCTACTACGAGGTCAGTAGATTGCTCTGTGAATTTCACACCCAACATTTTACATAGCCTTCAATTTAGTATCTCCTGGATCTGAATGTTTATTTTGCCTATTACCTACCTGTAGTAAGCAGTTCACTCCTGATGCTGTATGTTTGGAAAACAAACTTCTATATTTAATCCAAATAATGCTTTTATAAGCAAAAGATCATGTTACTAAGAACATTACATATAAAGAAACAAAATGAACATATTTATCATCCTACTGTGGATTCCAAAATTGTAGTACTAAAATATGGATAAAATGAATTTGATAAATAACTCACTCTTCGAATGTAGCTCAGTGGTACAGCATTTACCTAGAATGCTAACAGCCCTGGATTTAATCTCTAGTTGCATAAGACAAAATGAAGTAGGATCATGTTGTACAATAGTTTTTGTGAAAGACTTTTCCAGGCTTGGTTGCTTATTCCTTTAATTTGAACATTCAGGAAGCTGAAAGAGGATAATTCTAAGTCCAAATTAAAGCATAGACAGTCTACCTTAAAAGATAAGACTAAGGGTGTGATGTAGCTCAGCGATAGAGCCTGTACTGAGCAAGTGCATATCCCGGGTCCTATCACCATCAATGCAATGATGAAAACAACTCAAGATTTTTTTTACTACAAACAAAACTGAATTATAAAATTGAGGTAGCTCCAACTGAAGATAAGAAAGGAAAGAAATCATTGTTTTCTCTCTTTCATGGAATTAATATGTGAAGGATTTAAATCTCTTGATGTTTAAAGATTTGCACCTTCTTGAAAAATGGAGCCACTGAGGTCTGGGATGCCCCTCAGGAAGTGCCTTATGCCTATAAAGGCAATGTGTGGGTTGGCTATGACAATGTCAGGAGCTTCAATGTCAAGGTAAGGTCAGCTCCTTGGATTTGCTGACATCACAGCACCAAGGCTCAGGAAATCAAATTAACCTTACACCTTCTATCTTTAAACAGACTCAGTGGCTTAAGCAGAACAATTTTGGAGGTGCCATGATCTGGGCCATTGATCTTGATGACTTCACTGGCTCTTTCTGTGGCCAGGGAAAATTCCCTCTGACCTCTACTCTTAACAAAGCCCTGGATGTGCCCACAAGTGAGTGACAACCTGAGTATGCAGATGGCGTGTTTCTAATGTCCCTTTATCAATATAAAGGCATGGTTGAATGCTCACTCCCACTGCATGGGGCCTACTCTTCCCATTCCATTCCCTTGTTCTTGCCCAGGTGATCCTTTCTAAGTCTCAACTTCTAAGGGAATTTTGGGAAACCAGACCTAACGTTGGAGTGTGTGGGAAAAAATTTCCTAGGACTTCAAAGTTTGTAAGAGTCTGCAGAAATTGTGCTTATCTTTAGCATCCAAATCTCTCTGTGTGTCCGTTAATGAGTGTGTGTGGACCTCATTCAATGTCCTGCCTAGCCTCCTGGAAGAATCAACAGGAAGCCACACCAGTGCTCTTATTTATCCACCCTCAGGGAATGTCTCCATTTCCATAACTGTTTCTACAATTTTTCCTCAGAGGTATTATATTCAGATCTTCAAAACATTTGCATGTGTTAATTACTGAATGCCTTGGATGACAAAGGAGACATATATAGAAAGTAGGACTTGATCCACACTTTTTCTTATTTCCTGATACGTAATTGTCTTTGAGTCTCTTCAATTGTGAGATTGCCGCTAATTGCATCTTCTCCTGGGAATAATGTACCTAGTTTTCTTTACTTACACTTGAAGTTCATGGCCACAGCAGGACCACCCCTCTACTCTTTCTCTTATTATATTTTATGTTGCACAGCCCCTGATGTGCCCACTGATCCTACGGAGCCAGTGACTTCTCCTCCAGGAAGCGGAAGCAGGAGTGGGAGTGGGAGCTCTGGAGGAAGCTCTGAAGGCAGCGGATTCTGTGCTGCCAAAGCTGATGGCCTGTACCCTGTGGTCAATGACAGACATGCCTTCTGGCACTGCTCCCACGGAATCACATACCTGCAGCACTGTCCAGCAGGCCTTGTCTTTGATACCAGCTGTAATTGCTGCAACTGGCCATGAACCTGACTCTGTCCTGCCTCTCCAAACTTCTGTACTTTCCGCTATGCCTTGACAAAGACATTTGCTTCCATCTAAAGCTATGTAATAAAATCAGCTGCCAAAACATGGGCTTCCTTGATTTTTATGATTTAGTGGAAAACTTTTCTCCATTTAAAATATCAGCTGTGTGTGTGTGTGTGTGTGTGTGTGTGTGTTTGAGAGAGAGAGAGAGAGAGAGAGAGAGAGAGAGAGAGAGAGAGGAATTAAGGAGAGGAGTGTGATAACATGTTGCTGCCAAGAATACTACTTTTTTCTTCCCTCCCATATAATGTGCATGATAGCTTAGACTCTGGAAGACATCTGAAGCTTGGTGATGGGCCAGTACCCTAGTGACCATTTTTCCAACTCCAGAGGATTCACAGTGCTGCTTGCATTGCTGAAGAATGATTCAAGACTTTCTCCTATTACTGTTGGGGATATGTTGCTGTTCTAGCATCCCTAGAGTTGGAAACAGTGGCTAGATACATGCCATGGACCTCTCTTTGATGTCTGCCTAGCAAAGAGACTTGCAGGTGCCTTTTCAAGAGTATCAAACTAACTGCTAATGATTTACTATCTCTCTAAAGCTTCACCAGAGAAGCTTTGTTCAGCAGTAGATGGCAGTTAACACAAACACTGGTCAATATGGAGAAAATAAGAAACTATGGAATTCTTATCCCTAAATGGGATATCTACATCACACCCTGAGACTCAGGGAGAGAAAAGAACCCCACACCTTTGTTGGTAGGATTGAAACCTGGTATCACTACTAGGGAAATCAGTGTGGAGAACTCTCAAAATGTTGGAAGCAAATCTACCATTGACCTATACATAGCACTCCTTGTCATATGCCCAGAGGACTTGACATATATTTTTTTAGCCATATACATTTTTGCTTTATTCCCAAGAGGCAGGAAATAGAAACAACCTATGTGCCATTCAACTGATGCATGGATAATGAAAATTTGGTACATATATATCATGTAATATTATTCAGCTGCTGAAGAAAAATGAAACTATGAACTTTGAAGATAAATGGATGGAACTAGAAAGGACCATATTGTGTGAGGCAATCCAGACCAAGAAAGACAAATATTGCATGTTCTCTTCTATTGGAGACTTCCAGCTCCAAATCTTCAGATATGTATATATATATCTTAGGTAACACCAAATTAAAAAGGTAAAAGGGGACCACTTCTGGGGTCACAGGGTTGGGGAGCAATAGAGAATGGTATAGTAGGATACAAGTGACCTGATCAGAGAAATGGGGAGAAATGAGAACTCTAATTAGAAAAGGGGGAATGGAAATAAATACAGAATAATGAGAATAAAATAATGTTAAGGATGTCTGAAAAAGTAATAATGAATAATACTATCAACTCTTTACCTAGAATTCTTATAATAGACACATCTGTGGACAAATATATGAATAAATTTATAGATATAAGTGTACAAATATTTATAAAAATTTCTCAACTTGTCTGACAATGCTTCTTCTAAAATCCCAAGAAATTCTAATAAAAACCCCAACACCAGGCATGAGCAGTGCTCTTTTGAGTTGTTAGTCAGGGTTGTCTAAGAGACTCACAAAATATTATATGCTACTGCTATTGCCCTTGTTGCTCCCCAGAGGGGTAAAGTAAGTCCCTGTTGCTGAAAACATTGTACACATCAGACACAGGACACATAGGCTCCTGAACTGCAACTCACCTGAGTGTCTCCTTCCAGAGGACTAGCTTACATTGTACCAGAAGATGCCATACAAGCCTCCAAAAGCAACACCTATGAATCATAACCAACTGCAACACCTATGAATCATAATAATGACCAACATTGTACAATAACCATAAGGTGCGGTAATAGCATGCATATCTTGGTATCTTGGTAGTACTAATAGCTCTTTACTTGGCCTTAAGGTCCACCCAACAAGAGGGAAACGATTCTTGGTACTAGTCTAGTACCAACTGTCTAGTGCTAGTGAATTCATGGATCCTGGATGAGAAACTTCTACCACCACGTTACTAATCAGTAAATTCCTAACTGCATTCTAAATATTTGTCTTTGTACTCATAGATAAGTGTAGTTCTCACCCTTTAACACAGAAAGTTTTCTTTGCAGCACTAGGAGCCCATTACAGAAGTCTACAACCGATTAAAATGTAGAGTTATGGAACCCAGATTCAACTGATATATCTATCAAAGGATTTCTGAACCCAAGGCTCAGGGACTATTTCAGAAAAGTTGGTGGAAAGATTTTAAGAGCCAGTGGATCAAGTGACTTTCTGTGAGACTGTGTCTTCTAGTAATGCCAGAATTTACACCTACAGTCTTACTTACATGATGGCCAAAGCATGGGTTGAACTAGGACAACAACAATGGACATGCCAAAGTGGAAAGGCAAAAGCCTATGGTACCTCTAAACAGCATAAAGCACTATAGGAAGCAAGGGATGCTAAAAGTAGGAGGAATAGTCTTCTCCAGGGAGGAGCACACAAATTATTTATCCAATGCCAAATAGTACTGACAACATACATGTGATTGCATTATGTAGACTGAGCAGCTTATACGCAGTAATTTATATGTTTTTACATATACATATATGTCATGCAACAATTAATAAAAAGAATACATTTTAAAGACAACAATGAAGGGTATATAGTAGGATTTGAAAGATAGAGGGGAAGGTGAAAATGATGTAATAATATTATTTCTCAAAATAAAAGAAAAACACTATTTTGAGATTCCATCTCACCACACTTTCCATGGCTATCATATAGAAAACAATTGACAAGAAATGCTAAATAGAATGTGGGCAAAGAGGAACCATTATACACTGTTGGTAAGGAACACAAATTGGATCATCCACAATGTAACTCAATATGTAGATTTTCAAAAAAAGGCAAAAACAGAACTATGATATAACTCAACCCCACCATCAGACACACACCCAAAAGATTCAGTCGTACTGCAGAGACATTCCCACTCTCATTATTTCTCTATTTCAAGAAGGTTGGAAATGAAATCAGCCTAGATGTCCACCAGCTGAAGAATGGGTAATAAAAATGTGGCACATATAATGAAATATTTGTAGAGACATGCATATAACTGGAAAATATTGTAGTTAACCTAGGTCCAGAATCATGAATGCCACCTGTTTCTCTCATACACAGATTTCACCTTTTGATTTTTATGTTTGTTCATTTAACATGACTGTTTTGAGAGGCCAGGAAACTCTAAACGGCCTCTTGGGGTTGGGAAGAGTCCTTAGAAGTAGATAAGCACATATAGTAGAACACATGTGTTACGGAGGTACAGAGAGAAATTCTGCAAATAGATAGTTTTAAACTAGAGTGATTTGGGGCACGAGTCTGAGAATATAATGTATGTGGTGTTTGTGGGGGCATACATAGTAGAGAAGCACAGAACAAGATTTAGGATGTATGAAAAACCACCTGGCAATATATTACTTTGCAAACTAATAAACATGATATTTTATGGAAAGAGTTTTAAATCAGGTGTGTGGATGATGCTTCCAGAAGCCATAGTTATATAAACAAAAATTCCAGGGCTAAGCATGGGATACCTGGGTATGGATGTTAATTAGGAAGGTCCTTATAGTTCCCCAAACAATTTAAGATTTTGCAATTGCTCTTGGATAGTTAGACCTTATTTCTGAAAGATTTAGATCCTTATACCTTATTGCTGATAAACTAGATAATTTGACCCTATTGCTGAATGAACTGGATAGTAAGACTCTGTCGCTGAAGGACTAGATAGTTAGACCCTATTGCTGTAGACACGAGGTAGAACTTTTTTGCTGAAAAAAAAAACTAGATACTTAGACCCTATTGCTGAAGGAAGTAGGTAGTTAGACCATATTGCTGAAGAAACTATATAGTTAAACTTGGAGATGTCAAGTTGGAACTCATGTGAAAGTTTTCACCTTTTATGTTGTGGAAGGTGCTGTGTAGGCTTCTGGAGAAGAAGAGCCAATCATTTTACAAGGCAGTAGATAAGTTGCACTATAATACTGATGTGTCAGGCAAGATGCTCTTATTGGTAGAGAGCAATAGAGAGCAGTAGAGTGAAGTGACTGCCATGGAAGTAACCAAAAACTTTGTGGTCGGATACGAGGGCTTTTAGCCAGAGGGAATTTATATCTAGTGCTTTAAATATATCGACTTAAGAGCTTGGAGAACATATTTCTATTGTTCTGCAAAAGGCAAATGGTGTCAAACTGCCTTCTATATATTTATAAGTATATATTAGTGTTATTTTAGGAATAGTGGATACATCTTGACTAAAGAAGAAGCTGACTAGGAATGATCAATCAGAATTAATTTCCAATCCTTAAAGTTTTGAACCAATTTTCTTTATAATTATTGCTTGAAGTCAATCCTAAGAACATATATGGGCAGAATATTTAGGAAGCATCTCCAAAAGAGGTAAAGTTTTTCAGGTACTTACTGTACATTTTACATGTGGAATCTCCATGAAAGCGAGATTTAAAAAACAACAATAATTTCCAAAGATTTTCAGTGTTTACTTTTCAATAAGATCCTTCTTTAGTGCCAGGCACAAAATATCCACAAAATGAAACTTAACATCAGTATATGAAGAGGTGTTTGTCCACACAGGGAAGTGCCAAAAAAGGTATTAAGTCTAAAGGTCACATTTAATGGATGTCCTACATGCCCTTCCTAAAGGAGACATGGTGCTATTCATTTGACAAGAGGAAGGAAAGGTGATGACATTGATGACAGAAGTAAGCAACCAAATCTGATGAGGAGATCTGTGAGTTTAATGATTAGTAATGTACACATCTTGGATAAACACTGTCCATTTAGAAACCCTTGTGATAAGTGGGCACTCAGATGGTATAAAAAGCCATTCGTGGCCTGCTTGAGCAGTACTGAAGTCACCATGGCCAAGTTCATTCTTGTTGCTGGTGAGTCTGTAGCCTTGCCTTGTGTCTGTCTTTCT